CCTGTATCTATGATCATCTTACAAGGATACTTATTCGTGTATCCTTCGACGAACAATCAGTTATCTCCGCCACTCATTGAAGAGATCTAAAGAACTTTCAGAGGGGCTGCATCTCTGCCTGGCAACCTCTGCCCCATGAGATTACCGCATTTTAGTTTCCCTTGTTTTGTTTCGTGGGAGTTTTTTCCTAGTCTTGATTCACATGACAGTTCTTGCGGAGATGTCCTTTCAACCCACAGTTCCAGCACTTTATTGTTTTCTTTCCAGTATTGCTTTTATTCAGCCTTCTTAACGCTTCCCAAATCTCTTTTAATTCTTCTCTCAGTTTTGCGATACCAAAATTTGATCTTCTATTTGAGCCACACTAATAGAATGGTGATCTTTTCAAGTCGCTTGTTGAGCTGCCTCAAACTTTATGACGTAGACCAGGGCTTCTTAAACTTTTTTCAGCCGTGACCACTTTTTATAACTGACATTTTTTTCGCGACCCCTGGACCCCACAATATTTACACAAATTTTGTGGGATCCCATAAGCATTGCGCAAATCTGACACACACATGAGTGAAACCGCCCATTTTTTCACTTGTTCTGTAATATACTATTGAAGCTTTAAGTCATTAACTTTAATTTCTAATTTGAAGACATAGAACAATGTGAAAATTTTAAAGAAGTAACAGATGAAATGACAGCGTCACATGCAAAGCAAGTAAAATGAACATTTATTTTTATCAGAGTAAAATTAACACTCTTTTGCAAAAAAATCGAAACACCATGAAGTGGTTGCTTTTGATGAAACTGAATATGTGTATAGCTCATACACATACTCAGTTTCAACAAAAATGACTTTTTTCGCAAAAGAGTGTATAAAAAGAATGCGTCCTTTGTATGTATTATCTTATCTTTATCTATTTTCAGATACATTGTGTAAAACTATTTGGTAATTGTAAATTTATTATAATAAGTGAAAGAAATATCAAAACTGCTAAACATTTTAGCTACCCCCCTCCCTCCGTGCTGCAGGTCTTGCGATTTCGAACGCAAGTCTAAGAAACCTTGGCATAGACCAAGGCGGATTTTAGGTCATTCAAATCTGCCAATCGGAGAGCCTTCTGAATGTCTGCATCGATGAAATGCATCGGGGCCAGATTTTCGTTGATATCAGGTGGGCAGTGCATTGATGCACCAAACTGTTAATGTCAGTCACCAATTCTAGAGTCTTTCTGTGGTTTCTCTGTTGTCGAGTTTTCAACTGCAGGAAGCTACAGTCCTTTGTGCACATTTTCCCAAATCTCAGTTCCAGCACATTAGAGAAGGCATTGAAGTTTGAAATCTGGTCTTCGGAGAGGACCCCTAAGATGTCTGCAGCATCTCCTCGGAGTGACGCAGCCAACTGCAAAACCTTCATGTGGGAGTCCCACTTGTTATTTTCCGCCACGATGGAAAACTGGGTCTTATATACACTCCATGATGATTTTCCATCGTATGTGCTTGGTTTGATAACCGTATGAGAGTGTGCTGGGGGAACCTTGAAATCTTCAGCTTCGTTCTTGGGTTCAGTCTGGTTTTCTTTCGAAACATCTACTTCTTCCTGGGAATTTCTCAATTTTTCTTCAAATCTTTCTCCCACAGCTGCTATTTTTGCTACAGTTTCCTCTCTAAGCTCCATGATATCGCTTTTAATCTTATTTTGTTCCGCTTCCATCTGTTCAAATTTCTTTTGCAGCTTTTTTTGTCTAGCTTTTATTTCTTCTTGACCTGATTTTATTTCGCTCTGTAACTTCTTTTGTCCTGCCTTGATCTCTTCCTATCCAGCTTGCATTTCTTCCTGTTTGGCTTTCACCTCTTTCTGTCCGGATTTCATCTTTTCTCATACAGCTTCATCTCTTCTTGTCTGGCTTTTATCTTGGCTAAAAAGTCCATCAAAGCCTACCTTTCCTCCGCCATGACTTTCTCCTGCAAGCGGGTCACTGGCATTCACTCTCAAATCCCACTTCTGACACAAGTTGTTGCATTTTTTACGGGTTTGTGGATTTGGAGTGATTGACGGCAACACTTGATGAAGAATGAAAACACAGTTTATCTGATATTACTCAGGACAGCTCCAAAAACACGTTTACAGTCATCAGAAAACTACGACAAGCATGCTGAAACAGTTAGCGACACAACCTTCAGGCTGTCCGGCTGTAACGGTGAAAACAGCTTCACAGCAAAGCACCAGAGTAGAGCTCTGGACTCATTTCACTGGACTAAAGAGTATTTCAACATATTATCTACCCCATTTTCTCTGGAAATATGTAAATTACCTTCAAATCTTAAATGGGAATGCATTGAACTGCAAAGTGACATTCAACTGAAAGAAAAATTTGAAAATGTTTCTTTACTGGAGTTTTATAAAGATTACCTATCCCATCATAAATATCCTAATTTTACAATCATGCTTTATTAATGTCTTCAGCTTTTGGCAGTACCTATATTTGTGAACAATTATTTTCAAGAATGAAGGATACAAAAAACAAAAATAGGACAAGGATCACTGATAAGCATCTTGAAAATGCATTAAGAATTGCAATTTCATCTATTGAACCCGATATCAGTTTGCTTGTTCAACAAAAGAAATTTCATCCATCTCATTAATTTGAATTTTTTCCAGCTATATGAAATCCAAACTGAATGAAATGAAGCTTTTACAAATTAATAATAAATATGTACCTATACATATTTAAATCAAATTAAAATTCAGTAATAAAAAGAAGTTAATTAATTTTAACAAAACAGCATAGCAGTAATTTTTATTTCAATTTGTTAAAAAAAAAATTGTATGTGTGGCCCCACAAATTTTTTTTCTTTGCAATGCGGCCCTCAAACGATCGTAGTTTAGACACCCATGCTTTAGATCATAAATCACAATTTCATATTTTTAATTTTATAATTTCTACGTGCTATCTTACTAGATTTAAACTGATGATCTAATATCCAGAAAAATCTGGAATTGCTGAAGTCCTGACGAGTCCAGATCTCAGACTTTGTACTGTGTTTTGTAAATTGTTTCAACTTTTAAATCAATAAAATCAATCTTTACTGACATTATTTTCTTGTTGATTTTTAAAATTTTCAAATAGGTTATGTACATTGCTTGCTTAGTTGATAAATTCATTTCAAAGGAATATTCTTATTTATATGAACAATTTAACTATTTTCTCACTTCATGAAGGCTTTTTTTTTTTTTTTTTTTTTTTTTTCCAAAACTGTGCATTTCTTGTTCACTCCATTTTTAATTCTATCCTTTATTGCGATCTTTTATTACTGTCTTTAAAATAATAATAATTATTATTTTTGATGTGTGTTATCTGTTTTTGACTTTTTTAGCTTCCTCCTAAGCTTTTATAATCATTATTTTAAAACTTAAATTTTGAATGTTGCAATCTTCTTTTTTCGTGATGGAATTTTCATCAATATTATTTTGTTTACTAGGCATTATGATGAAATATCAGTAAGATTACATACATATAAGATTGCCAACAAAATACTAACATGCCAGTATGGAAGAGAATTAGAAATAGGCAGTTCTTAACAGCAGCTAATAGGTTTTGTTTAATGACTTCTTGCTTGGGCTTAATGCTACTTACCAAAGCAAACAAATAATGAAAAATAAATGTCAGCAAATGATTTACAGCACATTCTGTCGGCACAGCAAATTTTAACTGTCACACTGAGTTGTGCATACAATAACAACATATGTATGTATATCCTGTTGGCAAACTTAAGTTAGAGGATTTTTAATCATAGTTTTGGGCCATCATAAAAGCAAATCTTCGGGAGTTAAGGACTGCTTCTATTACTAAAATTAATGTAAAGATGGCATGTATTTACACTATGTTTGATCCTTATTACATTCTCACTATTTTGAAAATGACGCTGTTAGGCATCATATGAATGATTATTTTGTACTGAGGTTTGCAACATGTCACATCAGAAACTTCATTTATTAATTAAATGATGGTAATTTTAAATTGCTCAGGTAGTTAAACAATACACTGTTTTAGTTTAAAAGGTAAATTAAATGTATTATGAAACGTAAAATAACAATACGTCTGAGAATTGACACTTTGCCTTGCAGCATAAACAATAAACAGTCTTATGCATCATGGAATGGCTTAGTTCATCAAGCCATTGCATGATTCCTAAGACTTGTCAAGCTTGGTGAATGCTAAATATCCTGATAGTGTAATGTAATGGGCAGAAACTGAGCTGTGGTCAAAAATTATGTATATAAAGAAGGAAAGCTTCTATAGACATAATATAAACCAGTGACTACTGTGCCACTATATTGCAGAGGAACAAATTCTCATTGCCAAATCACCAGGTGTACAGATTCAAAGAACGTATAGGATTCCTTTTTTGGCAAAACATTTTGCAATAATTTAAACTTGGATTTTTGTAGATTTTGTTACTCAAAATAAATAATCCATTAATTAATTTACTTGTGCTGATCACTGATTTGATTTACGTTGATATGGTAGGGGAAAAATGATGTCATAGAACTTTGAATTCTTGATATATGTGACCTTGACCTTCGTCACCAGCTCATTTTGTTTATGCGTAAAATGATATTAAGGCTGGATGAATAGCCCCCATTTCTCTCTGGTCTGAGGGAGCCACGCCTGTTTTGCTGAAGCTTTCATTCTTAACATGCATATTCTTTGCTATGGCTGTTTCTAACATCAGTTCAAAAATATTTCTAATTGTTTAGCTGTAATTTTTCTTTCAATAGTTCTTGTATGATGTACTATAATTAGTCAACAGATATTGCAAAAAAAACGTTCTTCATTTCAAATACGATTTCGATAAATTTATTATATATAATGAGTGCATATGATGAGAAATATATGTTTTTAGTAATTAGGTGAGCAAGCTATGAATAAGGAATAATGTGTACGAGTTGCAACAAATGCCATTTGCATTGCTTGACTAATTAAGATGTATTATTTTTCTTCTATCAGGTTAGAATGGTTCCTGAGAGTGCAAATGAGAAAACAGATAGCTTTCCAAAACCTGAAGTTGTATTGCAGCAGTTACAGGTATTTTTGAATGGAGCTACTAGAATTGCTAAGGTACGAAATGCTGAAGTTGCACAAGCAGCAATATGTTTGCTTAAATCTACAGAAGCTGCTCGAGATGCTGCTTTAGAACATGCATACAATCTGTTTGATGAGTCTGTTAATAACTTTCTCAAGCTCGAAATTGAAGATAGAACTTCAGATAGTGCTTGTTCCAATGATGCTATCGTTCAAGAAGTTCATAAAGTTCTTTCTGAATATGTGGACAAAGAACCTGAAACATGGGCTCCTGTGATTTCAACATGGTCTCTTGATCTTTTAGGTTATCTTAGTAGCAAGTATGCAGATCGTAGAGGTGTACTGCATTCTAGTCTTCCAGAAGTATTGCAACTATGGATGTCGTGTCCCCCAACTAGAACGCTTATTGACTTGACAACACAATGCCTTTCAACACTGGTTAGTAGTAATCCTGATACATGCATAGATGCTTTAATTGAAACGTCTGTGCGACATTCGCCTCATTTTGACTGGGTTGTTGCACATATTGGTTCATGTTTTCCAAATACTGTAATCACTCGAGTATTGGCTTGTGGAATGAAAGACTTTATGCATCAAGATGTGACAGATGAGGCTCAAATAAGTGCAAATAAAAACCCTAAAATAGCATCTGTTGTTGGAATTCTAGGCCATCTTGCAACTCATCATGATAGTGATACCCGATCTGCTATAAGAAATTTATTTAACGAGAGTTTCTCTGACAATGCATCTCGAGAACAATTAGCTGCAGGTCCTTTTTTACTTCATTTAGCTGCAATGTCTGACACATTGTCACATGTCATTTCCTCCGAATTTGTAAAAGTAGGTTAGTATTTCTTTTAAATATATGTTCTTTTTAATTTACTGATATGTGTGTTGAAACATTTTTGGTTACTTATGCATGTAACAATCAACTGAAAGTTTATTATTACATGATATTCCAAAATCCATTTAGCATTCAAGAAGTTGCTTCCCAGCTTTTAGAGCAGTCAAGATAGCCTTTGTTTCTGAAGATTTTTGTTTTCTGTACCTTACAAAGCAGCAGATTTTGCATTTGTATGGTATTTTCTGAATATCTGTATTCCACAAAAAGTCTTGAACTCATTGGCAAGCTTGGAAAGCCTTTGCAAACTCATTGCAGAATAATTTTCTTGCCAAGCTAATGTTCAAATGGTAGCAGGTATTTTCAAACTGGTGGGCCAGTAAAAATTCCATGCAGAAGCACTCAATCAATGAATCAAATTGAAAAAGAAACAAGACATATCAATAATAAAAGAGAAACTTTTTTTATTGATGTTTCAAGAAAACTTTTTCAAAAAATCTCTTTTGCTGTTCTCCCCATGTACACAGTGTATTGTCAATTGAAATTTTTTTGTTTTCAATAACCTCTGTTACTTTCTTCGCTATCGGAAGCGAATTATAATGACAAGGAATTTGATTTAAATCATAGCAAAGATGTAGTACATCGAGATGAAGTACTACATTTAATAAGGAATTAGAAGCCAAATAAAATAAAAACATGTGTCCTGAAGATAAGGATAGTGCTGACAGATCAACTTCCAATTAATTGCGCGGCGCCGCGGTGTTAAAGATAAACAAAGTTTAGATAAACAAAGGATATGCCTTTATCCATTTTTTGTAGCAATTCCACTTTTTGTTTAATGAACTTCGAAACATACTTTCGCTTTGTAGATCATTTACACATTAATAAATATATATCAGAAATTCTATTTGACATAATCGAAAGTTCAAGCTTACTTTTATAAAATTGCTCTAACAGTCTGCAAAAAATAATAAGCTAGATCCAATTCGAAGATTAAGGAACAACGCAATCTGCAACATTAACTGAAATAGATAATTAAATAATTTTAGCTTAGCTTATACCGTCCGTTATACATTAAACGTGCACTCGTAAATGTATTTTGCGCACAAGCATATTCTCTGCCGTAAAGGCCTTACGCACATGCGTTGCTAGCTTTGAGGTCCGGATTATAGATCATTCTGGATTATGGGTGTCCGAATTAACGACTTTTGACTATACCTAGGTTGCAACATAAATACTTTCAGCAACATCATGTGTTGCCAAATAACTATTTTGGCAACATACTTCTTTGCCTAAATACTTTTTTACAAAATATTTTTTTCATATACAGTACAAAGTCTGTAATCCAGACATCTATTATCCGGAATGATCTTTAATCCGGATCTCAAAGCCAAAAACTTGCGCATGCGTGTAAAGCGTTCATGCATGCGCGTTTGATGCATGCATACACATAACGCATTTACTTATGTGGGCATAGAAAGTGACAGAGAGGTTATTGAAAATGAAAAAATTTCGATTGACAAGTTGGTCAGTATTCTCGACACAGCAATTATGGATTTGAATAGTGGAACTTTGTAACTTAACAAGAAATTATGTCTATTTATAGAATTAAAGAGAAAGTATTAGCACAAAAAACGAAGCAACTTAAACAACTTACATTGAAAGAAATGTTTAATAAGGTAAACAAATAAATATTAAGCTTTTTTTTTTTTTTTTTTTTTTTTTTTTTTTTTTTTTGTAAATTTTGATACCCTTTAGATCCTAATAGCTCTTTATTTCATGAATTATGGTTTCATATTTTTAATTGTATAATTTCTGCATGCCATCTTACCAGATTTAAATTGATCATCTGTAATCCGGAAAAACCCCTAATCCAGAATCACCCGACGAGTCCAGATTACGGACTTTGTACTGTAGTATACGAGAGGTATGTTAAAAAGGAAACCAAACTTCTGCTATATCATCTTTATTGCTTATTGTACAACACTTTAAGTGCTGTTTTGAAAATTGTGCACTCGACTGGCAATACACCATTCCCATCATTTCTTGAAAGCCACTGGGATGCATTTCTAGGACAGCATACAGGTCTCTTTTTGCATTGTCCTGAATCTCCTCTATGGTTTGAAAATGATGTCCTTTCAAAATGGCTTTTGATTTGTGAAGCTGGGGCTTGGTCTGAAGAATACAATGGATGAGGCACAACTGGAGTGTGATGTTTCGCTAGATAGCACCAGGCAAAGAGCAACACGCTAGCTGGCATGAAACATGCACTAGAATTCCTTGGTAGGCTTTCTTATTTACAATATGACTATGTGGTAGCAATTCTGGATGGACAATATCTTTGCAATAAAAAAATACAACCAACATTACCTTGATCTTTGACTGACTCATGAATGCTTTTTTTTTTTTTTGGACAAGGAGACTCTTTGCCTACCCACTGAAATGACTACAACTTTGCTTTAATATGACAGCAAACTCACATCTTCTTGCTTGTTTTGATATTTCTTAAAATGTTTTCATTGCCATTAATAGTGGCAAGCAGTTCCTGACTGATTTCAAAATGAGTCTGTTGATTGTCAGTCAGTGAATACACCACAAATTTTGCACTAATGCAATGCATCTCAATTTTGTTACTCAAAATGTGATGGTATGATCCTATGCTGATGCCCACTTTGTCAGCAACTTTGACGTGGAAGGTTGCTTAGGTTTGGAATCGTCATCAACCAACATTCTGCCATGATTGAAATGCTTAAACTACTTATAGTACTGTGTGTGACTCGTACACTGCTCCCCATAAACTTCACTAAGCAACTGAAATGCCTGTGTCAAATTTCACTAACACAAACACATGTTATTCTTCAAGGTTTTTCATTATTATTTTGACACTAATCTGATGAATGGCTTGTACGTGTCCCATTTCAGCAGCTTTAGCTTGCCAATTACCAGTAGTAGCTAAATGTGACAAATAGCAGTTTGTTGTTTAAACTTGCTACTACATGCTGCAGTGCATTCCCTTTGCCGGTTGGTATGCTATTTGAAAAATTCGGTTTCTTTTTTAAAACACCTTGTACGTTTTCAAGACTTTGGCAGGAATTCAAATAATTGGAAGGTGTTGTTTATATTTAAATGTATTTGCTATTTTTTATTGTATTTATAATGCTTTTCAAAAAAGTAATTAAAATTTTTCATTTACTAGCCACTTGCATGGCCAACTTATCATCTAGCATGCATTTGGTCTATGCATGCTAAAGGTTGTCTGCTCATGTGGCTACTTTTAAAAAAAGGTTTTAGAAGATCACATAATTGATATTTTATTTGTCATTTTGTTTGTTTGTTTATTTTGTTTTAAAAGAGGACAAAATGTTTATTATATAGCTTGTGAAAATTTTAAAGCTTTAAAATGGATTTTTTGAGTTGCAATTTTAAAATCTTTAAAAAGAATGTTCTTAAATCTGAACTCGAATCTGTTAATGTGGTGCCATTTAATAGCAGATATAAACATTGGTACAAATTCTAACTAAGTGATGACAATCCTAAGAATACATACAGCTTCATTAAAAAATGAACTGAAAATGAAAAGTATGCATTATATAGTATCATATAATATGATGCATACTGTTATTACAAGTATCATGTAATACAGTGGTTCTCAAACTTTTTTAAGTCACAGCACCTTTTTTGAAATAAAATTTTCCAGGCCACCCTACCCTAAGTAAAATCAAAAGTAAGATAAAAATAAATAACATGCATATATCCAACATGAAATACATGTGTTTATATTATTTAAAATTTTTTAATACTTTGAATATTAAACTAATAATTAATGTGATGAATGATCCTGCAAATCATTGTGCATAATCTCAAATAGTGGAATTAAAATGGATGCAGCTACCTTCATTTCCTTTTCCATGTTGATTTTTGCTCTATACTTGTTTTTTATTGAAGTGACTGCTGAAAACCCAACATCATATTTGTGCAAATATCATAAGGAATTGAAATCCAAAATTCTGTCAATTCTGCGTTGCCAAATTATGCTTTGAAACTGTTGTCACAAGATAATCAATAAGATTCCGCTCTTCCGCAGAAGTCAATTCAAATGGAGCACTAGTATTAAATGGATCTTGAATCCTTTCAAACCTATCAAAATTTTTATTTTAAGAGTATTTCTCAAACCAGCTAATTAGCTGTGATAAGTGCCCTTCAAACATGATTTTTGTATCTTGAAAATGATCAAGTTCATTTGACATCAAAAATTGTTATAATATTAAAAAAGTCTTTGCCTGCATCATCATTCAGTTTTCCTTTCCATAGTTTGAGTTGTTTTTATAAAAGCTGATATTTTTTCTCTTGACTTCAAAAGTTGTATGTTTTCCCCTGTAGAGAGAGACTAGGGAATTAACCTTTTAAAAAGTGCTGCATAAATATGCCAATCTTTCGCACCTTTGTATCCTTTCTCTTTAAGAAAGGGTGGGAAGAAGAAGGGTTCAAAATCTATTCATGTGAAGTTGATGGCTCAAACAAGACTCGTAAGGTCTTAGAAATGTCCTGAGATACTAATCAAAGCAGTGTGAGCATAGGCACAACTAGTTTGATAGAATTTCTTTAAAAAAAAAAAAAATGAAACAATTCATCTTAAAAATTGTAGGGAAGATACTTGTCTACTTTAGGGTAATAACTTTATTCACTGTTAGACTAAAATTCTTACTACAAGAACTTTGGGTTCGAAAATTGATATGGGATGATAAAGTATGTACAGATATCACTCAAGAGTGGACAAATTGTTGTTGTGAGTGTCCACACCTAAACAAGATTACTGTTTCTAGACATGTGTTGAATCCCGAAGCTGATTCTGTAGAGATACATTGCTTCTCACATACCAGTTAGAGGGCATACAGTACTGTGGTTTATGTAAGAGACTTCATAATCAAGAAAAAAATTCTGTGAGTTTCATTGCATTGAAATGTCATTTGCATCCGTATAAAAAGCTATGTTACCTCGTTTTG